GTTGCTGCTTCCTTCAATTGCAGTGCGCTTCGCCCAGTTGTTGGTCCAGCGTCGAAGAGACCTCGGATCTGGCACTCATCCACCCGGTGTAAACAAAGAGGTCTTGGCAACTGACACTTCATGTAGATCACGTGTATTATCAACTGAATCTAGGAGCTTGCTACCTCGATCTAGCGACGTCTTGCTCACAATTGCGTAGTGCAATACGTAGAACGCTCGGTTCGTACCGGTTTCCATCCCGGCTAGCGTCTTAGTTTAGCATCTTCTCTGCCACCTCGGGCAGCATCCCTCTGTGTTTGGTTGGATCGAACCACTCGCTGATTTGGTTGTAGAACTCTTCCATCATACACTTGCCAGCATCGTGGATCTCGTCGCAACCCCGACACACGTAGAAACAGTGATCCAGGGATGGCCTTTCTTGACACACTTCTCCCAAACCAGATGTTTTCAACATCCGGCTTCCGTGTGCTTCCGAGATCCACACTGCGAGCACCGGATTTGTCCTGTCCCATCGCTAAGATATGGGGATCTGTAGATCCCAGGGTCCCCGTGTAGGAAATCCGCGGTCATGGGTTTATCTCCAGTCTTTGCCGTACAATCGTTGGGATTGGCGAGACAGACTCTGCGGTAATCCTCCCGGATCGGGGTCGGATCCATCAGATCCAAATTTAGTCTCTGAAATGGTCAACGCGTCGGTCTGGGGCCGTGGGTGTCGGAGCCTTTTGGCGATACTTGCCCGATACGACAGCTTCCTTCTTCTGGCGATGTTTCGCGCGATCCACTGCCCACAGTTCTTCGAGCTCGTCGGTATCTGGAAATCGTAGCAAGGTCAACCTGTCGGCCAGGTCGGCATCTCCCAAGGTTTCGATGAAATGATCCACATGCTCCCCTAATACATTGGATCTCCTATCCTTTTGGAAACCGCGTAGCAAGTCCGGCCACTTGTTCCGAGTGAATCTGTCCAGCTGCCGATACCAGTTGCTGGCTGGCCCGGCCAGCAAGTCTGCAAATGTCAGACATTTTTCTGCATCGGATGCTTGATCTCTCATGAGGGCTGACTTGACCTTGCTGATCCACGTTCGCGCTCAGTCTTCGTCTTGAACCTAGCCCGTGAACTCCTTCAGATCCGATATGGCTGAGATCTGTACTCTCTGCGTCATAGAGGATCCATCCCGGCTCCTGCAGTTGCTACCGCCGCTGGCGAGGGGGATGGGACATCCAAATCATCTAGGTCGAACTCATCATGGGAGTTGTCTCCTTCCACTGGCTCCATGTCGACGTCTCGTGCTCCATGGTCGTGGGGCTCTTGAGTCTGTGGCCTGGACATTCCTAAACCTTGCTCAAAACATAAAACGACTCATCGCGGCTTTGAAGTGCCGTTGTAAGGTGCCTGACGAGGTATTGGAGGGCATGGTCGCTGTAGTATGGTCTACCGTAGTCAAAGGATTCGTACGACCATTAACGCGAACGACAATCCAACTGGCTTCTAGCTGGATTTGGCTCGATCCTGACTGGATGGTATCAGATCGCGGGTATGGCGCTCTGGATTCCGTGTTCTCACACTTGGAGGCGCCTCCTGTCCCCGGATCCTTGCCCGCGTCTCCAGCATTGACGACCCGGAGGGATCTAAGGTCATGCGTCGCGGCTCGGACGACGTGTCTGACCCATCTTCGGCCGCGGATTCGTGGTTGGAGGATGCAGCTTGACTGATCCTCGGCGACGACACTGGATCCGTGGTCTGCGGCCTTTTCCCTAGCGATGGACTTGACTCTCACGAAGAGATCCCGCGTCGCCGATAATATCAGATCCAGATCGATCTCGAATATATCCTCCGCATCGAACGCACCAGCCACACTACCAGAATCCGTAATCAGACGTAATAGATCCTAAAACTGCCACCAATTTGTTCGACGTGCTCGTTGGTGCTCTCACTGGTTCCCTTGGAGCTTCGATCTGTCGTAGATTTAGGATTCGCATGACAGGATCTTGATCCAGGACGTCGCGTAAAGCTTGGTGGCGATATACAAACTCGACATCATTGTCGGGCCAGCTTGACCTGTCCAGCTTGGTCTTCTTCTTCCGACTCTGGAGCTTGCATTTTCTTCCGCGCAGTCTTACTCGTATCGGTCTTCTTTCTCATCTTTTCGACTAGCGGGCTTGGGTTTAGGTACGGTGCGATGAATCTGCAAATGCATACCGTTCCGTCTTCACTTTTTCTTGTTTTGTTAGCGGATATTGACTTGCGTCAAGATCCGCAGCCCCCCCTCCCCTGAGAGGGCCTGGGGAGGATAGAAAGGTTTCTCTTCCAGATCTGGATCCATCTCTCTTCCGTCGACAGAGTTCCTCCATAGACTTCGTCGATCCGCAAATCTTGCTTCATTCAGCAACGTCTTCGTCGATCCGACCTCCGATGACGCCTCTTCCTCTGGCTCGACCTTCACTTGAGCATCTTCTTGGGACTCACGGTGAAATCCCGAGTCATCAAAAGATCCGGGCACGCGCACCATTGTGGTGTAGCGGGATTAAAAAAAATCTGCGAGATTGCTCGATCCAACTTACCAACAGCGCCCAGACACCGACTTACGAAGGGGTCCCCGATGATCCGTGATCTGCTGAACTTTCCTCACCTTGTGTATCCGTCGGTAGGGCGGGATCTTGCTCTCTCGGCATCTTCCGAAGCGTTCACGTGGTGAAGCTTGAGTGTCTTGGCGAGATGTGGGGGTGGGGTGGAGCAGTTGTGGTAAGACCTTCACTCTGCGTCCGTAAATGTTTCTGGGTGCCAAGCAAATATTCGAGCTTGATGGATTCAGGTTCTAGATCTGGGATCTAGTCGTAGGGTTGCCTTATGGCTGTGTTCCCTTGCCTTTTGCGTTCCTTTGCGTCGTACTTGCCGCTTCCTACAGCGAAATCTTGATAATAGAAGTCGCTAGGTATTCCCGACCAAGTAAATCCGAGTAACGTTTTGGATCTGCACGTATAAGGAAAGCTCACTAGGTGGCAGGATCTGGCCAATATATTATCCAGTTATCACTACCCACACTAGATCTGCAATTCCGACCTCAGCTCGTACGGCCAATATCGCCCCGATTATTGAGGGCAATAAGGCACTTGCGTAACACAATGCAAATTCGAGTCCGATTCATAGTTAGGTCTAAACCTGTCTGGACTTCTACCTTCTATGTCTTTTACATGTTAAATCCCCTACCAGGCCCGGCTTCCCGCTCTTTCTCTCCTTGGTCCATTCTTCAGCTGTGTCAGCATCAGATCCACCGGATCCATGGCGTAATCATCACGAGGTCCCCAAATTAAGGGTATACTGTTCCGGATCCAAGGCACTTTAGCCCACATTACTGCAAGCGGATCTGAACCCTCCAATCATCCAACACTATATTACGAATGTCTGCGGTCGCCATCGCTTCACGAAAGCTCGAGATCCATTGGATCCACCACCCCTATACCATAGATTCTAGTCACTCTGTGTGGGATCCCCCCATCCATTGGATCCGGACTTGGGACAGTGGGATCCGGGATATCTAGTGGTGGATCTTGCCTTTTCATTCGTTGTTAATACCAGATACACCATCATATGGTGTCTACAATCCTTCCTCAATAGGACCCCCACTCGATCCAATCGCACATGGTGGATCCATATCCCTAGATGTAACCGGGCGAGGGTGGATCCGAGACTCCACTCGGTTGATTTCAATATACTGCCGCTTACCGTGTTTCGCTTGCCATTCTTCATACGCTTAGCCACTGATATCTCCCAGATCCATCGTCGGTTATCTTCTTATTTCCGATCCTCACAAGCCGACCCATATAGGATACGGATCCAGATACTTCCTCCTTGGACTACCAATTAGCGTGATCGCCCCACGTCATCTAGCTCATATAAACGTTCAGAGTAATAGTCTCGACTTTCGATCCACTTCACCGCGGGCTAATCCACTTCGTGCAGTATGGATCCACTTTGAGCAGTCTAGATCCACCCAAATCACCGGGCGCCGTCACTAATCCGTGATAATGACTCCTCGTCAGATCACATCTCGCATTTCTGAGAAAGCACTTCACCATAATATGCAACGACGTGTCAGCTCCAGCAACTTCTTCTAAGCCTTCACGCTTTCGCTTTTTCTGGCGACACAATTGCTGGTGACGGGCGGTCTTTTCGTTGCGTGTGAGAGTGCTAGCAATTTTTCTCTTGAACTCGCGCAATGTCGAGGGAAACGAAGTTGCCCGCTTCAAGGGAGCGTAATCATTTATTGTAGCCATGTCCAAAAGCCACGTGAATAGTGTCATGCGATTTTTCCGAATGCGATTCGGATCTGTAGAATGCGGCTGATCGGTACGGTCGGCATCATTCATAAATTGGCTGTACACAGCTATGATTGGTGGCGCCATGGATACCTTTCGGTGCAACACTCGGTCATTCGTCTGAATTGGATAGAGGGCGTGACAACATGTCACGGATTCCTCAGAAGTGCCGCTTAGCGTCCGTGCCGGCATTGTTGCCAGAAGAGCGTTACTATAGAAGAATACTGTATGTAGACAGCGTATCCAGCTCGATCAGCAAAAACTGTATTGGGCCGATGCTCTGTTTGACAGGATTTAGGCAAAGGCTTGTGAGCTTTCATATGAGCAGCTTCTTGTGTCTTCCAGTCAGGCTTCTGGTCGACCACCGCTACTAATTCCCACTTCCCACGCGCTGACACAGACATTCGCTCAATAGAATCCCCCACCGCCGCCTTATTCCACTTATCAAACAAAATAAGTCGTACAGCTCCAACTCGCCGCCTGAAAGCGTGATTCGCTTAGCGAACATGTGTCGCGTATAGAAGATGTCAGAAACCGTAAGTCTATAACCGCTTGGTGATCGAAGGACTCTCACTTGATGGTCCACCATGGCTAGCCACAAAGATGTTGCTAATTTAGCGCCCACTGCAATGATATCACGTCACAGTGTATTGTTGAGCGAAGTCCGAGGCGATGAAAACTGCTTACTATTGCTGCGCTGGTGTAGTTGGCTGTGTGTTGACGGACGCGTTGTCCCGTAGTGTATGAACGTAGAGTGAGTTCCAGTCAACCACAGCGTACAAACGTACTCCGTACTTGTCAGGTTTAGACGGCATGTACGTCCGTGCCATCGACCTCGCCTTAGTTGCAACTGCCATTTCATCAATGCTGCAAACTCCAGTAGGAATAGCAAACTCAGCGAATCGTAGGCGAGAGTTGACCTGCTGTGCCGCAATGGGTCATGGAAACGGTCGAGTGTGTGGTCGTCAGGAGCGTGAAGCTGCAACGCGGCTCCGATGTTTTGGCATCTCGTCCTTGACATGGTATTTATAAAGACCTCTTGGACAATAAATCGACTATCAGACCAATATTTTGCAATATCACTGAGTGGGCAAATATTCATCGCAATTCAAGACCCAATGCATTAAACTCACTCTCGTTTAGTTTGGGCTGGCCACGAGCAACAGGAACATCCTGCCCAGCTTCATTCATCTGCGCGTCGTCGTGCTGCTCAAGATGCGACTCGTCGTACATTAGTCTATCCCACTCGTCGACGAGTAAGTCCACTGAAATGTCCTCGATACAATATGCCTGATGTGTCTCGAGCTCTTCTCAATCTCCGGTAATATCACTGTCCATTGCTGCTGTGATCGATTGCGGTGAAAACTATTATGACAGTTATACTGTTTCAAGCGTCCAGATACGAAAAAAAAAACGGTGGCCTGGCTACCACGCGAAAGGGATCTGTACGGACCCCTATGGCGACCATCGATTGCCTATCGCGCAACCTGACACAGTTTTAACCAATCACCATCGATGTGTACTGTCTGTTAAATATCTGGGTGGACCCTTAGTTGAACCAGTAGCTAAAGGGTTAATAGTTCTCAGTTACTATTTCCGCTCCGTCCCGATGATATACTCCTCAGGCTTTTGCTTCGAGTGCTTCTGTAGCGAGCGAGTCATCTCCTGCATTATGGTGTCGCGCAATGTGTCGACGTTTGGTGAGATCCTTGTGTCGTGCCAGCTCAACTTGCAACATCTCCTTCTTACAGGCTATCAATCCCATGGATTGCTGGATTGCAAGCCAGGAGTCCCCCGCGATTATTAGTAAATTATCCTTCAGTCAGAAGCCGCCAAGACACCATTGTTCATGCCGGTATACTCGACGATGCTGACCGTGGTGGACGATCGGTACGCGCTCGCAGCGATCTTAATGTCCCAAATTGGAAGAGGCCACAGGATCCACGAGCAGCTTCCATATCCACCACACTTAGCTTTCTTCGCTGATCCATCGAAGGAAAGTACGAGTCCTGCGAGGTCGGCTGGGACCCGGGCGTACAGCGTTCTGGGTCCTTCCTGCATGTCGCTGAGTTCTTGGAGGGAAGTGCTAGATGCTTTATCAGCTCGTCGAGTCCGATGAACGGTGTGATCGACGCTTGGGGCAACTGGGCGAAGTCTACATCGCGCCCGCGTACCCCGCTTCACCTTCAAATCGTTGGGCTACAGTATCACTGCGGAGCTGGCTGCGCGGCCGTATAACGACTTAGACATCAACACCCATTCGAGCGTTGGAAAGCGGATGTAGACGTGAAGCGTCTTCCCTGCCAAGAGATTGTAGCACATTTTGAGTAGTTGTAACAGCGCAAACACTTCTTTTCAGCTGGAATGATGATAGCCGAGTTCGTTCTTCTTGAGCACGCGCACGTAGAAGCGGATTGGGTTATTGTCCCGGCCAAAAAGGCTCGGACGGAAAATAAAAAAAGTCAGGTGGCCCAAATGAATTTAATAATATCGCTTAGAGCTTACGACGTGATAATCCTCCTTTGTTAGATGCCTGTCTAAAGAAACCGCTCAAGCATGCAGCGCGTCTTACATAAGAGCGGTATAGTCTAGATTGAGCACGTAATTTATTATCTCAATCGCGAAAAGATGTAAGGTATGAGTCCTTACATACTTGACCTATCATACCTTAAGCTCAGCGCAAATTTAAGCCCTCAGCCTTCTCGACTATGCTAAGTGGTATGCTAGCTTCCTGTAGCGCCAGGTTTAAGCCAATACGGGGCTCTGCGATGAGAGCTATAGGCCGAGTCCATCGTCTATCGGTGACCACCGTGCTGTTGCTGTTACATGTCAAAAATATCATTGCAATAGTCGTACTACAGATGTATACTGTATTGCAGGCATAAATCAATTTGATTATCTCAGATCGAGCTGAACGACTGACTGGTTTATGCGATATTAAAGGAATTGTACCAGCTGTATCATGTTAACCATGATGGTAAAAAAACACGATGGGCGTCATTTATTGAAATTTATCCAAAATGATTGGGAATCTCCGGCTGCTATCCTGCTTAAGCCAATCGTAGAGACAGAAACGCTGTACGTGGCAGGCTATTAATTGCAAAGAATTCTGCAACAAATAGTGGGTCTTTTCGACAGCCAGAATGAAGGGGAAGGGCTTCGAATTTGCAAAAACCGACGTCAGATTCGGACTCAGCACCCATTTTTACCCTATATATCTAAATGTCGATATAGGTTTTAGAACGGCAAAGGACCTTAATTATAGCGCAAAGCCGTCCGAGGTTTGGTGGCCGGGACAATAGCTTGTCGCAGCGTGGCTGTATCAAACTGCTGCTGGGTGCCCGCCATTAGCGTATAACATTATATGGACTTCTTTTGCCGAGTTGAAATGGCAAAGAACTGGAGCGTCCGCTACCCGCTTCTTGAGCTCGGCGAATGACGCTTCAGCTGACGTGAAGTCACCCACAGGACCAAAGTCCGTGCTCTCAAGTTGGTAGAGTACTGTCCATACCCAGCCAAGCTCTAGATGAGCCGACCGTAGTAATTAAGTGCACCAAGGAAGGCTTGCATCCCTCTCTTTGATTTCGGAAAGAAGAGCCCGGCAATCGCAGCCATCTTCTTCGTATCGGCACGTATGCCACTCGTCGTAATCTCGTGCGACCGGAAACCGAACTTGGGTTGAGCGAATATACTCTTGATAAATCTAACGCTAATCGGACACTCAGTGAACTAGGCTAGCGATCGATTCAGTGTCTCCAGACAGGCGTCAAACGTCTCTCCCCCGAAACAAATTTCATCGACGAGCGATATTCTCTTGAGCACTGGGGCCAGATTGGACTGGTCAGGCACTCCATTATCAAACATTACATTATCAGGGCCGTTGACTAAGTCCTGGACCGGATCGGGGTTAGTTTGTGAATGGTGATCTGCTTCAGCTGGCCCGTCTTTATGTCGCTGAATCCTCCGAGTTCGAATCGTCGACCTCCCGACTCGGCTTCAGCGGTTAGCCATTCGTTGAGCGAGCGATTTTCACCTGCCCTTCGGCTGGACGTAACCCCATCAAGCACTGTCGATACGTCGTTATTAAATCATAGGTGCATTCTACAATCCAAACGGCGTTCGTAACCGTATCAGTGCACAGACGATGGATTACTAATCCTCGACAATCGAAGCAATTTGATTTGTGAATTTGTGTGCTTGCGTAATCGAAATGAAATGCTAACACCTTGAAGTACAGTCACTGACTGTACCTCAGGACTGAGTCAGGGGAATGGTAACTAAATATCATATGCTATTTTTTGATAATAATAGTATTATTTTCGATATTAAATATTAATAGTAACTCTTTTTTTAAGCTAACATACAATTCTTTAAATAACTCTGAGATTAGAAAAATATTAGATACTACACCTTTGTGCACTCAAATTCGTTCTAAACGGCAATCAAATCCGTGATGAACAATTCAATTACGTAAATTTCTGAGTTTCAATTACCAAATCTGCAAACAAATTCGTTTTTACTGCACACAAACTCGTGCGCGCCAAAATTAAAGGCTGTGCTGCGCTCGCCCCAAAACAGCGCGTCCAAGACAATGTCAGCCGACGAACTCTCACTTCTCGTTCCACTCTCAACTACGCAGATGCCCCCCTACAAACATCATACAGTTGCTGAAAAGCAGCGTGTCCTGGAAGCGTACCAGTCCAGACTCCCAGATTGGCTCCAAGTGGCTGCGAACAATGGTTTTGCCCCCTCAACTGCTCGAGACCTGATTGCTCGAGGGCGAGCTGAAAACCTTCGCCGTGGTGGCGTGAAGCATTCCAAGATGACGGAGGAGGCTAAAACGTATCTGGAGCAGTACCTTAACGAAAATTGTACGTACAGCCTCGAAACCTTGCGTACAATGCTGTTTCTCGATTGTGGCATGAAGGTTAGCACAGCCACCATCAGCCGTCACCTCATCGGCATGCTGTACACTGTGAAGCAAGTGCGTGTCGAGCCTACAACCTGCAACAGTGAAGTCAACCTGTTAAAGCGCCAAGCCTTTGCTAAACAGCTCAAAGAACACCAAGAACAAGGTAACTGTATTGTGTATTATGACGAGACCAATTTTAATGTGCACTTGAAGCGTCAAAAAGGACGCGCTAAGCGAGGAAAGCGTGCTGTCCTGAAGCTGCCTCCTTCGAAAGGCGCGAACCTGCAGGTGCAGTGTGCTGTGTCGTCCAGCATTGGACTCGTCACCTACCGACTTCAACGAGGCAGCATTCGTATGGACAAGAATGCTGCTTTTGTGGAGGAGATTTACGCGGCTGTCAAGGCGTCTGAGGAGTTTAGGATGTACTATGAGGGCAAAATGGTCGTGATCGTCATGGACAATGCTCCTGCGCATCGTCAGACCGAGGATCGCGTCACTAAGCACGCTGATATGGAGTTGCTGCGCTTGGGGCCGTACTCCCCAATGTGCAACCCCATCGAAGCGTGCTTCAGCGTTTTGAAGGCTCATATCAAGACAGAATTGGCGATATTCCGAGATGAGGTATGCGACCGCACCCGGGATTCGGACCAAAACCAAGAGGTCCTCTCCATTGCTGAGCGGCAGATGCGTCTTCTGGAAAGGACTGCGAAACACAACATGAAATGGATAACGCCTGTGTTGGTCTCCCGAATGGAACTGCATTGCAGTAAAGCGGTAAATGCAGCAGCGGACGGGAAGGCTATGGAGTACGGCACGTAATGTACGGATTTGTGTGCAGTAAAAACGAATTTGTTTGCAGATTTGGTAATTGAAACTCCGAAATTTACGTAATTGAATTGTTCATCGCGGATTTGACTGCCGTTTAGAACGAATTTGAGTGCACAAAGGTGTAGATGATATTTTATGGTTTTTTTCACTTAAGTACGTCTCTTGCTCTGTGAGCCGAGAGCTCACCAAAGAACTCTTTCGGTCAGGTTCTAGAACAGCAATAGGCTTTAAGACTGACGAGTATTTGCTCTAATATTTCACTGTGACACAGACAAAGCCGATCGAGATGGAAAACTGCAAACGCTTGCTGTTGTTTAATGTCGATACATGTAGAGCGAAATCAAGGTATTTGTTCTTGTTCTCTACCGATAGGCTCGTCCGGTATCATACCGGGTATGGGACAATTGTGAGAGTACGGCAAGGTTGTTGGCACTGCTGAGCGAATTAATCTAGCGTCACAGTCTGCAGGTTGATTAGACGCACGATGTGGACGAGCCTACACTGTACATGTACTGTAGCCAGATGTCGTTAGCGTTCGACTAGCTGAAGTATTACTAATCAATCGTGAGGGAGATGGAGTCAGGGGTTAATGGTAACTCCAAAATCGGTGAAGTTAATATTGTGAAAATATCACCTGTAGACCAGTTAATACTAAAAATATCACCTAATATTTTCTTCTGAGACAATATGATATTATTAAATATCAACTTAATATTAGCTAATACGATTTTATATTTTTCAAAGATTGCGTAATCGGGCTAAATTCATTCACCAATCAGGTGTCGTTAACGCTCGACTAGCTGAAGTATTACTAATCAACCGTGAGGGAGGCAAGGTTGTCGTTGTGTGTTGGCACTGCTGAGCGCATTAATCCAGCGCCACAGGCAGCAGGTTTATTAGACGCACGATGTGGACGAGGAGATCGGTAGAGAACAAGAACAAATGTCTTGATTTCGCTCTATCAACGTTAAACAGCTGCAAGCGTTTGCAGTTTTCCATCTCGATCGCCTTTGTCTGTGTCACAGTGAAATACTAGAGCAAATACTGCTTTTCTAGAACCTGATCGAAAAAGCTATTTGGCTCCGCTCGGTTCACAGAGCAAGAAACGTACTTAAGTGGGAGATATCATAAAATATCATGTAGTATCTAATATTTTTCAGTTCTCCGAGTTAATTTTAAAATATTATGTTAGCTTTTGCAAAATAACCTACTATTCATATTTTTATATCAAAAATAGTACTATTACTATCAAAAACATCATATGATATTTGGTTACCATAAGCCCCTGGATCGTACTGTAATGGATTTAAACAGATTACGCAATCTTTGAAAAATAAAAATTCCTTTTAACAAATATTAAGTTGATATTTAGTAATATCATTTTGTCTCAGAAGAATATACACGTATTAGGAGATATTTTTATATTAGCTGGTCTACCGGTGATATTTTCACAATATTAACTTCAACGATTTTGGAGTTACCATTAACCCCTGCTTGCCAGTTCGATCATTTTTGGTTTTGACGCGAGGCATGTTTAGTGGTATCATCGAGGAGATCGGCACGGTAGTGTCCATGCAGGAACGCAACGACCTGCTTGTGTGGAATGGCGAGCGTGGCACAGGTTTTGAGCTGGTGGTGCGCGTCAAAGTGGCACTGGAGGGCGCGTATCTAGGCTGCAGCATCGCTGTCAACGGAACGTGCCTGACCGCCACAAGCATCGACGAGGACCGCGTGGCCTTTGGTGTAGCGCCCGAGACGCTGCGCCGCACTAACCTGGGCGAGCTAAAGGCCGGCGATAGGGTGAATGTGGAGCGCAGCATGGGTGTGGATTCGCGCAACAGTGGCCACTTCGTTCAAGGCCACGTGGACGGAACGGGCGCCATTTTGTCCTTCACGCGCGAGGACGACTCGCTCTGGGTCAAAATCTCAGCCACACCCGAGATTCTGCGCGATATTGTGCCCAAGGGCTACATCGCCATCGACGGCACGAGCCTCACGGTGTGCGACGTGAACCGCGACAACGGCTGGTTCTCCATCATGCTCATCTCTCACACACAGAACCACATCATCTTGCCGCTCAAGAAGGTCGGCGACCGCGTCAACCTCGAGCCAGACGTGCTTGGCAAGTATGCTGCCCGCTCCATGGGAAGCGTACACGAACGAGTGGACGCGCTCGAGAGCCAGCTGCAATTTACCAAATGGGTGACGACAGGACTCACGGTAATCGCCGCTACGTTGGCCGTTGCTCTCGTTCGCAAGTGAGGGCAATCGAGATAGGTTAGCGTTCGTTTGAAACGTGCGTGGTAGGATACCACTGGTAGCTGTGTAAACTAAAGTACACCCAGCACAACGTGAGGAGGGTGACCGAGTGCGTAGTATTTCGCATTAGATTATCCTCAAACGGGCGCTAAGCTCATTATGTCTCCATTTTCGGCTGGAATATGCCGCCAGCAAGCAACAGGTTGCGCGGCGTAAAGTGGACCCGATACATTGGTGTCTGTTTGGAGCGCAGCGTCTTGAGGAGGAAACGCGAGGACGGTAGCTCCTGTACCGCTCCAGGCCGTACCATCGGCACAGGTTTGACAAACCGGCTTCGGCCCGGTAGCTGAGTTCCGTTCAACTCGAAGGCTGCATCCGATGAACTCACGTGCAAGTCTTCCATTGCCCCCGAGAGGGAAGAGTACGTCGTGGGCTTCTCCGTGAGCGCCTTCATATCCCAGATACGCACTGTGGAGTCCATGCCACCACTTGCTAATATTGTGCTCTCCTGGCTGAAGTCTAGCGACGTGACCATTGCCTTATGGCCCATGAGGGTTTCCAGACGTTTGCCTGCCTGTAGATCCCAAATATTGATGTACTGATCCTCTCCTGAGCTTGCGAGATACCGACCGTTGCGCGAGAATGCTAGGCACTGCACCCCACGAAAATGGCCCGTGAATACACGAACGCACTTGCCAGACTGCACGTCCCACAGCCGTACAGTCTTGTCGCTGGATCCAGTGGCCAAATAGTTGTGGTTCGGATGGAAACGCACGCAGTCCACATCCGATAAATGACCAGCAAAAACACGTAGAGGCGTCATGTGATCTGTACTCCAGAGCCGCGCTGTCCGATCCATGGAGCAGGTCGCAAAGTAGTATCCTAGCGGCGCAAAGGTAACATCCCATACCGGAGCTCCTTGATGCGAGCGGTACACGACCAAGTTGCTCCTCGCCGCCAGACTCCAAAGTCGAACAGTGGAGTCAGCTGATGCCGTGAGTGCGAATCGATTGTCAGGGGAAAAGCTTGCGCCATATACAGCGCTCGAGTGGCCTCGTAAGACAGCCATTTTCTCGTCCTCCTCTGCTTCTGCAAAAGACGGCCCTCCATTGCCATGGTACACGGATCCGGCGGCTGCGCCCAATGGCTGATCATCGTTGCGCCATACACGGAAGGAGGCGTCGTCACATGCAGCGCCAACCATAGTCACGTCGTCGTTGAAGCACATGTTGTTTATGTGTGTTGCTGAATTCAGAAGCGTAAAGCACAGAGCCGAAGGCAGCGCACTTCGACTCACTGGAGCGCGAACTCGAATATCCTCGAAAATATGTTCCTTCGTGCTAGCAGGTACGCGAAGCACGAGTTTCTCCATCACTTCGGCGTTGAAAGCATTCTTCCGATCGGGTAGCGGGCCTGTCTCCTCCAGTTGCTCTCTTTTCTTGCCTGTCGTGCCGTCATCTGACAGCTTCACACGTTTGTGTTTACGGTGCGCATCTACAGACGTAGTCGACGCCTTGCCTTTATCTTTTGACCCATCTGCCTTCTTGTCCCCATCGCCAGTTCCAGTCTCACCACCTGCAGCACTAGCAGAGGTTCCCCCTGCTGCTCCGTTGGAGGCTGCACCGCCTTCTAGTCCGTCTTCTTCGTCCTCCGCAGAGGGATCATGCACCTTGCGCTCCGGAAGCACTCCCCAGTTCACAGGAATGGCGTTGAGATCGTGCACCGTGTAGCCATTGCGTCCAGTAGCTGCCGCAGAACCACTAGCAGCGCGTACCAAATAGTCGACATCGTAGGGCCCCGTGGTCAAGGGCATAGCGATCTCACTCTCGCTTGGATGATTCGATGCCGCTATAGCCTGCGCCAGTTCATCCGACGTCTTAAATCCGCTGGTGGCGTCGTTCTTGGGCGCCAAATTATTCAGCGTTTCGACTGGCGTAGGCGCGTCCTGAAGCTGTTGAATCTGAAAACCTGGTTGGTTCGACGTCACCACGAGATTGACGCGCTCGTTGACGATTGATAGCAGCAAAAAGAGACGCTCCTGGCTCAAAAATGTGTTGAGCAGCTCGAAAGACAGCAAGCTCATCTCGACGTTAAACTTGCTCTGTAGTACCTCGCGCACGTACTCGTTTTCACGCAAATGTTGTGGCGAGAACACGAGACTGAGTGTGCGCAGTTCCTCCAGGTGCAGCCTGGTGTGATCTGGTGCATATCGATGGAGGAAACGCCTGCCTGCCTCTACGAATCCCTTCGCCAACAGCTCCAAGAAGCAGTGCACGAAGATCGGGAAGACCACAGTGTGGAGCTCGTTGCGATACATATCCAGCGAGTTGCAGATCCAGTCCAGCAGCTTGCCGTACGCTTCATCGTAAGCTTCAGAATTGCCACTAGTGAGTCCGTAGAACAGCTACAGCATCGTAAAGCATCACAATCAACTTGTCAGCAACTAAAATTCATGCGCCATTCTTTCGACTGATAGTAAATGCGGCAAAGTCACAATGCATAGCAATAACAGCCAAGCACATCGATATTGTCGTCGCAACGCACCAAGTGATTCGCAGTGCACGCTTCCGTGGTCAGGCCCATCTGCTGCGCGTATTTGTCGATGCTGGCGTTCTCTATCCGTGCCGCTCTGTCGCCTAGCAGTCGTCTTCTCTCCTCTTCTGTGGCTTGTGGCTGTTGCGACTCCCCTCTGGAGATGTGATAGCCTCGTGTCTGCAGATACTTGAGTAGTAGCTCGTCCATGACAGAGGCGTTGGCATCCGCTTTAGCCGAAAGATCCAACGACTGCAGCCCTGCGACAGCGTGTGCTCTACTAGGAGAAGCATGCTGCAGTAATGGAGGCGCCGTCGGGCGTAGAGAGGCCCCGTGTTCCGCAGGCGAAGCGAGCGACGGCATCGTACCGATTCCTCCTTCCGGCCACTACGCAAAAAGACAGAATGAGTGTCGGATAAGCGCCCCCTTTAGCAAAAACAGCTAACATTTAAGTACATCGTGTGTTGCCACATAAAATAGATCCGAACATCTTTGCTGCTGGACATGGAGCAAGTGCAGGAGGTGCTGCTGTTGGTGGCTTCGTGCGTGTCTTGCGCAGGATGCGGCCTTTTGCTGGCGACATGGAAGCGCGTGGAAGCTCCCAGCTACGTTAGTCGCCGCATCGTCACGTCACTGGGGCGTGCAGGGCTCGTTACCTCCATCGCCTTCGCCATGTGCGTCACTTGCTAATTCGCAGAGCTACTGGCAGTGTAACACTATTGCTGCTAGGTCACTCGTGGTGAATGGACTTGGACAGAACTACCGACACCATGAGGGTCTTTGCTACGCGCAGGCGTTGACGCTACAATACTTTTACCTGGCGTCGTACTTTTGGACGGCCTGTTTCGCCTTCCATCTCTACCAGGTCATCGTCAAGCGGTGCGTCGGCTGCTGTAATAACATGCAACGTGAAGGAGTTATTGGTCTTGACCTAGGCCGATTATTGCAGGAACGAGTATCCGGAGGAGTTTCTATGGGTTTATCGCGGTGTTGGATGGGGGCTTCCGGGAGTGATGCTGGTTTATCTTGTGCTTCGCCAGTTGACAGGGCATCTCGGGGTTGGCGGGGCTGACCGGCGCTGGTGCTGGATTGCGGTGCACACTACACAGGAAGATGCAGGAGACGATTCGCTAGTCTGGCGACGGGAAGGTGCGATGCAACAGCTTTCGTTGTTCTACTTGCCTGTCCTCTGTGTGTTCGTCTTCAACGTGGGCGTCTACCGCACCATTCTCAAGTTCCTGCATATGGATCCCATGGCATCACGCTTCCGAGAGAAGGTGAAACTCTACGTGGGCATCTTCTTCTTGTGCTCGATTTGGGGAATCATCCATCGGTTAGTGCAATTCTTCCGCACCGATCACTCACCGAACGAGTTCCTCGGTGTAATGGAAAGTATGTGCGATCCATTGCAACCGTTGTTGAACGCCGTGATTTACGGCACGAACAAGCAGTCGTTAGAAACGTACAAGGAGCGGTTTTGTCCGAGCTGGATCTACTACTCATCGCTGCCTTCTTCCGACGACGAAGAATCCTCAGGCATCGACGACTCGCCCTTGCTGCCCCAAGTCGTCGGAGCATTTGATGGCCCTCCATTGGATCCTCTAGATCGTGAATTTGGCCACTACTTTGATCGAGGCGCACCTCGTAGTAAGTTGTCCCGCCAACACCGTGCAAGGAGCGTCAGTCGATGAAGAACTGGTTGCCGTACAGCATAGACACAGCACAACTAGTAGCATTCAAATGCTAGCTAAATTATACGCAGCTGATAAAAGGAATGGCTGCAGAGCTAATAATCGCTTTCCTAGCTAACTGTCTTGCTACTAGCACACCCACTGGCTGGCTCACCTAATCGGGCTAGTTATTCGCACTGACATTTTGGTCTTAGAAGAGGGAAGGCGAACCTGCAGCACCCGTCGATCGTGGCTGCGAGCCGTGCTCAGTCTTGGCCTTAAGGTAGTAGTCCTGTATGAAACATCACAAAAATTAGCTCGCGTTGCAACTTCAAGGCACAGCGACACTTGACGTACCCAGATGTATTTCCGCTTGTTGGCGTCCTGCAGGAGCTTGACGATCTCCGGAACGAGCTCCAAAGTCTGCTCGGGCGTAAACTTACTGTCCAGGTATGTAACGAACTGGTCGTCCGTGCAGCGATTCTGGCCGTAGTCCTTGCAGCTGGTCTTGAACTCATCCACGCCAGCAGGGCCAGATATGCTCTCAATGAGTCGCAGCACACGGTCGTACACAACCTGCACATCCGGACCGACGGCAGCAGCAGGCATGCGGTCCGTAAAGGGCGACATGAGCTTCTGTCTCAAATTCTGCACGTTACCCGACGGCGGAATGCTCACCACGCGCTGCAGCGCGTCATACAGCTGTGAAGCAGCGGCAGGCTGATCTACAGCACCAGTAAGGATCTCAGTGGGGGTGATCTCGCGGCCGTAGAAGCGCTTGTTAATGTCTGATCGGGCCATGATGCCCGATCCCTGCAACCCCACGCCGCCGAAGAGGCCCTTGCTGTGGCTGTACGTGTAGTTGGGGGCAACACCCGAGGCGCTGAAGTTGGCGTTGGCACCAGCCGCGCGGCCGTATGGGCCAGCAGCGAACTCGAGGTTGGCACCGGCCGATAGCTGACCCTTCTGCATGAAGCTCTTTACAGCCGTGTCCGAGTTAAGGATGATCATAAATTCGATCATCTGCGCGCCCATCTCAGCGCCAAAGCCCATGCCAGCCGTACCAATGGCGCTGGGAGCCGACCAGCGTCCATCCGGAAGCTTGGAGATGACCACACCCGTGCCCACTTTGCCGGTCCAAATGAAGCCAGCCTTCACGACCGTGAGGAAGGCCAGGCCCTTAGCTTCGTGGAGCAAGTCGATGGGGATACGCTTGTCCTGCTCCAGCGTTGGGTTGAACAGGTGCTCGAGCGTCTGCTCCGCTGCGCGGATTGCGCCCTCCATGGTGGTGATCTGGTCCGTCATTTTTGTCTGCGGGGATATCAAAAGAGATCCGACACTTGTGTTGCTGTTTTTGCTGTGGCGAAGAAAAACAAGAGGGCCCCAAGTCAAAGTCCAAAGTTTTGTGGATTTTGTGTCGCATTTCTGAGGAAGAATCGGTACTTTTCGTTGGTTGGAATGTGGTCTAATCATTTCCATAATTGGACCTTCTAACGTTAAATTTAGTTATTAATAAAGCTGACAGTTTTACAAGTGATGGCGGTTCCAGTGAAATGACTCTTGCCACAAAAACAAATTTACTTCGCCACAAAAATGCACTGACGCTTCTCAATCTGTTCCATCATGTGTATATTGTACGCTTAGCTGGTTAGATTCGCATCCGCGCGAGATAGTCGCCTAGAGTTGGTGTGTTCGTCACTTCCAGCATTGCCTGGCCCAGCTGCTCGTAGTCCTTACGCTCGTTGTATATCTGCGCACTAATGCGTGCGTAGAGCTGATTTTGAAATGGCACCACACGCACCACGATACGGTATTGGTCGTCCAGGAAGTCCATGATGGCGTCGCACAGAGGCAGCGCTTCGTCATGCGACAGTGGAGCACTGTCCGAATTCGTTGGCCATTCCACGGGAATGCGCACGTTACATACGAACGGAGCGCGCTGCCACGACGGCAACAAGATGTTCGTCTTCCACGTCGTGGCCAGGTACTCGCCAGCCCAGTCGATCAGCGACTTGTTGTGCGCGTACACGCGACTCACGCCCACACTTTCGTAAAAGTCCAGTGACGACACGATTGTGAGAAAGTTGGCTTCATCTCGCGTGCCCTGGATCGCGAACTCTTCGACAAAACCCTGGCCGTACGCTAGAGACGTCACTACGGGGCGTACCGTGTTTTGGTATGACTTGCCCACATGCAAGAACGAACAGGACTTGCAGCTGAATAGCCATTTGTACGCTGTACCCACGTAGAAGTCAGCACCCAGTTTGTTGAGGTTGAGCGGCAGCTGGCCGGGTGCGCTGGCGCCGTCCACCAGCACGGGAATATTCCGCGCATGGAAAATCGGGATAAGCTTCTCCAACGGCAGCACGAAACCGGTGGTGCTGGCAATGTGGTCCAGCACCGCCAGTCGAGTGTTGGGCGTGATCGCATCAGCTACCTGCTGGACTAACGCGTCGTAGCTCTCTATAGGCAGCACAACGTCCACCACTTTGAGCTCGACAAACTCCTGCGTGCAGTAACAAAGATGGCGCAGCGTGTTGAGCACCGCCGAGTCTGTAAAATGAGCAGCACCAAGTAAAACATATCAGCGCGAAATTATCTAGCATGTTGGTATTGCCGTCAATGCAGCACATCCTCGCCGTAAACAGAACGTACATGTGAGGTTGAGACACAAGACTTCGTCGTCATTCTGCAAGTCCAGCGATTGCAGCACGGCATTCATACCAGTCGTAGCGTTGGTCACGAAGACAAGGTCTTCTGCGTCGGCGTGGATAAAGCGAGCGAGGTGCGACGCCGCCTGACGTAGCATCACGGGCACCTCGCGGCGCATGAAGCGGTCGGGGTTCATCTCCATCTTGTTAACAAAGTGAGCCTGTGCTTGCATTACGGGCTTGGGAGCCACGCCGTAAGCGTTCTGGTTGAGAAAAATTGTGTTGGGCTCGAGGTTGAACACGTTGCGGCATTCGCGACCTAGCACGAGGTTGCGCAGGTAGCATCGGCTGTCGGGCCAGAGCGTGGTCATGCCTTCACCATTGTATTCCTCTGCGGTTGTTGTTGTCTGTTGCAGTTGGTCGTGTTGTGTTTCTTGCTGTGTAATTCCAGCGGCCGATACGGGTTTCGTGCCGCCTGCCGGTTGGGCAACAGGAGTCGATGCCGTTTTCATCGGGATTACAGCGATTCCGAGCAAGATAACTGGATCGCTATATACCTGGAGCTCTGGACGGATCCTCAAGCACGCGAGGTTGTATTGTGGTGCGTGGAGAGGGTGGGAGCACTGCTCAAGCTAGTGCAGAAGCGCTAGCTGTGGGTGTCTGGGGCCTTTTCGAGTTATGGCGGAATTTAGTCACTCGGAATTTACGCAAATCCAATTATAGTTCCTTTTGAGAGCTCAAAAGAAGACTTTTTACTAAAAATTGCTGCAGAATTTCCGTTTTTCAGCACTTTTTTGTTTCAATTAAGCAAAAGTGATGTGATTGGGTCGTGTTGCTGACTTGGTCGCAGTGTTGCAAGTGATTGGCTGCAAACAAAAGAATCGGTAAGCGTGTCGATTACGACTCGTAATTTATGAGTGTTTAATAGCCGACACGAGAGTGCCAATGCCACCTCTTCCAGTGCCCCTACACGTAACTCACTTCACTTTTATCATTTGCAGCTGCAAAACACTCCTAGAAAAAGCCGCGTTCTTTCACTTGTTCGGTTGCTCACACACAAACAAAAGATTTGTCAAGGTGGTCAGAGTTTACGGCCACTATTGTTCAATACAAAGGTGGGATATTAAAGCAGCTCTTGAATTAAGCACTTCACAAATTAAAATGTGAGTAGCCAAGCCATCATCACATTTATATCGTTTTTCTGGGGGGGTTAGCTTCTGGGGTTTAGCGAAAAATCTGAGCCAAAAATTAGAAACCTTTTGCTACAGAAATTTTACTAATGAGTCATTGGAGACGGGTTCACGATAAAAAGTGAAAGTTTTGAAATTCTTTTTTTCAGAGCTTTCTTGTGTATCTCTAGAGCATTCGAAACAGAAGCCTTTGTCGATTTTTAGATTAATATAAAGAAAACACTCGAGGGCAGTTCAGAGCAAAGGCAATTTAATCCTTCACTTTTTATGCTCAATATCGATGAAGTGAGACACTCGGGTGATTAGGTGTTAAGCATAACAAATCTTTAGATATCACAATCGGACTTACCATGGTATTTGCTCAAAAGTTCAATATGGAACAATACCCTAATTCTGCCAATTCTGACAATAGTCTTATTGAGGGCCGGTGTACGTGATGTGGGTTCGAGTCCCGCAAGTGCATTGGAGCAGGGTTGTCGCTATGCATTAACGTATGGCTAGCTCTCCGCCCTAAAAACGTAAGTATGTAGCTTGTCATTGACACAACGTTAGATCTCACCGAAACTTACTCGAATTGTGTCTATTTTACTGTTGATACTTAAGCGGTCCGAGATTGTGACGGGGTCACACAGCACCTTGCACAGAGGAAGTGCTCAAGGGTATTTACTATCCGAGTGAACGTTAGTTCACGTGCTCCCGGCCTCAGTAGGAACGGTTTGCTACTTGATAGAGTAGATGTAAGACTGATGTATTTATAAGTAAGGTTAGCTTGGATCCTTTACAAACTAGAGGTAACCAATAGTGGAGCTAAGTAGCCATGCCCTGACTGGCTCCGAGAGCACCTGGTACCGTGTACCAGGTGTCCACAAGAGTGACGGGTCACTCTTTATGTAACATGGGGCACACTGGATTGTACCCCGTTACATCCTCCCCCACTTAACTGAGAATCACCTGATTCTCCAATCACAACTGATTCTCCAATCGGAAGTGAGTAAAGGTGAATTCTCACACTGAGCAGCCACGAGACTGGCGCGGCTCTCAGTCACACTCACAATGACTTGTGCTCCCAAAGCTCACTGGGATTTGCATCCCTATGATCACAACTGTGTAGACCGCAAAGCCTACACTCAGAGCTGCCTTAGCTCCCGCGCTAGCGCGCGTACAGTGCTTTGGCACAGGGTGAAATAGCATCCGAACGTGTGGCATTCGCCCACAGTTCGCACCAGGGGACACGACAGTCCTCGCGAACGCGTCCGGAGCATGGTGTCTCCCTCGAGGGGCGACACCGAGAAGGGCAACACCTGTCCCAGCATTAGTGGGAGCTCTCAGCTCACCTCGGGCCATGCCTTTGGATCCAGCAAGGGTCCATCCTTGCGGGCAGAGCTTCTGCCACGCTCTCTTCGCGTCTTAGTCGTCATACCAACGACGCGTACATCGACACCGTGTACCGTGACGGTACACAACCGTGATGCAGGTGTCTCCCATCGACACCATGTACCGTCCGGTACTAACCTTTGGTGCGGTACGCCCACCACAAGGTTGCCATGTTTGGCGGCAACAGCTTCTGCTGTACTGTCGCCTGAATGTATTCATGGCCAGTGCTCGCATCATGCACGACGCATGTGCAAGCACAGCGTACAGGTCCATTGGCCCGTACACGAGGTACGCAGTGTACGACACGTACCACAGCTACCATAAAAGCTCCGTGCACTTCATGTGTGTCAAGCACGACGAGCTTATTACGTGGAACTTCCGGCAGGCTGCTCGACAGCAGCCAGTGCCGATGCACGGTACGTGCGTTAACTCACAGCGTATACGCCCAGAGCGCATCGGGTCGTGGTATGGTGCATATCCTTTGCACCCATACCAGTTTCTATTACAGACACCATGTACCTTGATGGTACTCGACCGTGGTGGGGCATATCTCACCACCATGCCACTGCTGCGTTTTTCTGATATTGACCCCGAGTACTCACGGGGGTGAGGCAAGCAGCCATCACCACGGTATCATGCTCGGCGCGGCACCAGCTACGACTGCGTGCGTTGCCTCGACCACCACCTGGTCAGTTGTGTGTGCACTCGTGCACCACACTTGGGTTATGGCTCCACCGCACATTTTACTCGGCGCGTTGCGTACATCACGTACCCCAACCGAA